GACCCATGCAACGACCAGAATGAAAAGCAATATCTTACATTCCTCATGGGAGTTCGCTTCAGCACTGTTTTTCAACATTCGATTCAAAAATCTATTTAAACATCCCAGGTAAATGATTTGTAATTATTAAAATTTTTTTTTCCCAATTTTTTGTTTTTAATTATATTTCTATGTTAAATTATTTTTCATCAATTTTTTATTAAATTATTTTTTGTAATTTTAATTTTTAATTTTTTTTTTATTGTTTGTTTATGTAGTGTTTGGTTTGAACTGATAAAAAGGACTTAAAAGGATTGTGAGAGAAGGAATTTTAGAAGGAAATGGTTGCGAGCATCAAGGCAAAGATAGGAAAGTGTTAATCCTACCAAGCAACTTTGGCTCTAAAGAGAACTTGCACACTTATACTGAGAGGATTTCCATCCAATAAATTTGAAGCTTTGCATAAGCTTTTCGCGCTAGAATTTAAATCCTCGCGTCTGTACGGCTTTACAATGCGACTGTGTCGCCAAGTGTATATATATATACGTGTACCAGTAACATTAACTCCAAAACAGAACTATCATGCTTTTAGCATATACTTGATAAATATACTTTACAAAAGCATTTTCCTTTTATTTTCCTTTCTTTCTTTCATCCTTTTTTTCCTTTCTTCTTCTTTTTCTTCTTTCTTCTTTTTCTTTCTTCTTTTTTTAAATTTCCATATAAATAAAAATTTCTATTAAATTTATTAATATATTTTTAAATAAAGTTCATTCTTTTCTTTAAAAAATTTAATGTTGCAATCGAAAAAAATTCTTAGCAACCATTACTAAGGAAACAAGATCCTTAACAAACGTTGTTAAGGTAAAAAAAAAATTCTTAGCAACCGTCTCTAAGGAAAAAAAATCCATAGCAACTGTTGCTAAGGAAAAAAATATAAGGCTTTCGGGCCTGGTACACAAAACTCTAAAAACTTTATATAAATTCGCTTCACTTACTTAAAACTACTTAAATTCTAAATAGTAAAAAAAACCTGTTACAAGTATCATTAGATTTAAAATTATGAAAATAAACGAATTTTTTTTTAGAAATGGTTGCCGAGAGCGAAGTAGGATCAAAAAATTCCGTTCCGCGCAATAGACGTGCAGTGTCATCAATTACATTTACAACATGGAAAAAGAGGACGAGGAAGAATATATATATATATATATATATATATATATATATATATATATATATATATATATATATATATATATATATATATATATATATATATATATATATATATATATATATATATATATATATATATATAGGGGGGGGGTGCAATGCCTATATAGTATAGAGGTATTTTCCTCAGGATACCCGCGAGAGAATTTTCACCCCACAAAGCCAACGCGAGTATCCACCCATTTTATATCCATTGTTGTGGGTGGTGTGAGTATCAAGCAACTCTCGTAGCGAATAAACAAGATATGTGTACAGTGCACTCTGCACATACAATTATCGTTATAATCGTATTTTTCGAAAAAAAAGAGAGAAAAAAAATTTGCTCTCAACTGAAAAGAAAAGAAAAGAAAAATTTTACAAATATTTTATTTTTTTAAGTATATATTAATATACTTATATTTGTAAAAGTGCAATTTTTACTATGTCTGCGGTGATTCAGTTTCATATTTTATAAAAAATAATAAACTCTTGAGCATAGTTTTATAAATTTATTTTTACTAAATTTTTTTTACACTGTATTTGTAGTTATTTCAATTGCAAAAAGGAGTAATTTTACTCTAACAGCATCCGGATATTCAGGATATCCTACCGATATCGTATACGGATAACCGAAAAGTAGGATATCCATAGATAACCTAAGGACATTTAAGAAATATTTTACCCTAATAGCATCCGGATATTCGAGATATCCTATCGATGTCCTAGGGATAACTGGAAAGTAGAATATCTATAGATATCTTGAGGATATCCTAGAGATATCCTAATTTCCGGATACGGATAGGACACGTCCATAGGATATTCTAAAGGAACGTGTTAAGGATATCATTTTGTCCGAGGAAGTAAGGATAACACTAAGATTTGTATAAGGACATCTTAGGGATATCTTAATTTTCTTGGACTAAATGATAACCTTATAGGACGTTCATAGAAATATCCGCTGCTGTAATGGGAATTAACTATTTAAATTGAGTACCCCATTTTTTTTAATAAAAAATTAAATTCAATTAATAAATTAAAATATTAAATATTAAAATAAATTTATAAAATTTAATAAATGTTAAAAATTTTAAAGCAATAAGCACGTGTAAAAATTTAAGTCCTTGAAAAAATATCAGTTTCTCGAATAATAATAAAAAATTATCATTTAACGACTATGAATATAAAAAATAATTAAAATTTAGTCTGATAAATGGTACGCATGTAAAAGTTCTGCAAAAAATTTTTTAAAAATTTATGATTTGATAGAATCTTATTCTGTAGAATATTAGTTTTACAGAATATTAAATTTTTTAAATATTAATGAGAAAATTAGGATATCCCTGAGACACATGAGGGATATCCATTTTCTTTCGGCGGTTTAAATACCCCTAGAATATTCTGATGATGTCCTAGAATATCCTGAGAATGTCCTAGGGATATCCAAACTGTTGCAAGTAAATGGATAACCTGAGTATATTCCAGGGATATCTTTAAATATCTAGTGCTGTGAGGACTAAAGATATTCTATGAATATCCTATTTCGGATACTTTTAGGATCTGAAATATCCTTTGCTGTGAAGGAATGAACTTTTTTTAGCATTACTAAATGTGTAAGTACATCTGCAAATTTGGATATCTTTAGGATATCCTCAGGATATTTATGGATTTCCCTGAGACATCCTATAGATATCCTACTTTTCCAGTTGATCCCTAGAACATCAGTAGAATATCTATGGATATCCCTGAGGCATCTTATCAATATCCTACTTTCCGGTTATCATTATCATTCTCTCACAGTATCCGGATATTCAGGATATACTAAGGACATTCTAGAGGTATTCTAATTTCCGAATACTATCTACGAATTTCGTATATGATATTCAAGCTGTAAGGCTTCCAAACTTCTTACTATTTTTTTTTTTTTCAACTGCACAAGTGTATTTTCGTTTCCAGTTTTTCCAATCTGTATGAAACAGTTACTGAACTTTTTTTTTTTTTGTATCATATATGCAAATTTTTCATCCCCCATGTGAGTAATAAATAATTGGGGAAAAAAAAATGACTGAGAAGAAGGGTTATAGTTTCGTCACCGAAACCTTATTACCCCAATCGTGGAGAGTGCTAATAACGCAATGGACGATAATGGGTGTCCACGAGAGGTCCATACTCGTAACGATATATTTGAAGGGGGTTGATCAAGAACGCGCGGGAAGCGTTTTGCTTGAGCGTCGCGTCGTATAGCTGCAGAGCGGAAACACATAGATATAATATAAAATGCAATAAGGGTAGCTTTGATGGTGTGAGATGGTGAAGAGGAAAAAAGAAGGAAGGAAGGGAGGGAGGGGGGGAACCTATGCATATATCCAAGGAATGGAGGCATTATAAGGAAAAGTGGGGACAGGGCTTGCGCAGGGGGTTTACTTCGCTTGGACTGGATGCGGTGGGGGCGGTTCGGTGAATTCAAAAGGGGTGGAATGAAGTCGAGCCGAGTGCCGCAGGGCGCGGGTCCAGAGGGGTTTGGAGATTGATAACGCAATTCCAAGACTGCCATTACCCCCGTCCAATGGAGCTCGCTCCAACCAGTCGCTTCTATCTTTTTTCTTTTTTTTTGCTCTCTTTTTTTTTTTTGCTCCTGGCTCTTTTCCTCCTTTTGCCCAGGGACGGCGAGTTTTAGAAATGTTAACTCCATAAATGCCAGCCCGTTCCTTCGGGATGGAGGAAGCAAGGAGTAAAGGAAGAACTATGATAAAGAGATTCGCTTTAAGCGGAAAACTCTGAACCAATATAATTATATCTTTTAAGTACTATTTCCAAAACTTATTTCTGCTTTCTTGACTTTCTGTTTCTAGATTGCGTACAAAAGTTATTTTTTCAAATTTTTTTTCATGAATCGTGACAAGTTGTTTTTTTGACTAATAGTAAAAAAAAAAAAACTATATCATTAGCAACCGTTGCAAAGTAAAAAAAGTCCTCAGCAATCGTTTCAAGGCGAAAAAAATTATTAGCAACCGCTGATAGCCAAAAAATGTTCATAGAAACCGTTGCTAGGTGAAAAATGTCCTTAACAAACGTTGCTAGGAAAAAAATGTCCTCAGCAATCGTTTCAAGGCAAAAAAAATCTTTGCAACCGTTGCTGGGCAAAAAATATTCTCAGCAATCGTTTCAAGGCGAAAAAAAACATTAGCAACCGTTGCTAGGCAAAAAAAAATGTCCTTAGCAACCGTTGCTAGACATATTATATATATTATATTATATTTATATTATATTGTCTATTTATATATAAAATAGAATATAATAATATTTTATGTTAATATTAAAAAATAATATTTGTAACTGAATATATAAATTTCCATTTCATCATAATAGAAAAATTTATCTTACGACACTACAATAAACATAAAATTAATATAAAACAGATGCGTTTATTGTTTGAGATTGATAACGTATTTTGCGTCACAAGTATAAATAAGTGTTTTTCTTGTTTTATTAATTTACATAAAAAATTCCTTAAATTCATCATTATACTTTAATTATAAATTTTTATAAGGTCATATAATTCTATTATGATATAAATTTTACATGAAATAAATCTCCTTAGACCTAAAATTCTCATTATTGTTCTAAAACTAAATTATAATTAATAATTCCTGGTTTATTATTATCAAAAAAAATATATTTAAAATTTACATTATTGATATATATTTTTTTCTACAATTTAAAAATTTGTTTAAAAAAATTATATAATTTTACTGTTTTCTTTTATCTTTGGGTATTAAAAATTTTATTACAAACTCAGGATTGTTGATAACTTTTAAAGTTCTGCATAATTTAAAAGAAAATTTTTTTTATTTAAGTTAAAAACAACGAATAGTGCTTTATACATTTGAGTGAATATAAAAATTCTTTCCAAATCTCATTTAATATATTATTTACATTACATTAATCGAAAAATTATAATATTTCAAATTCAAAATATAATCTACAGAATTCTATTTGTTCCATAAAGAAAATTTTATTTCCGGTAAGAGTTTAAAAATTGAAAAAATTGTATACCTTTAAAAACCAACAAATTAATTTTTTTTTAAACAATCAACTTCTGTTTATATTAAATTATTATTAAGAAAATTATTTTACAGGAATAAAATTATTTAAAATTATTAAAATTACTATTTATATGAAATAATTTCGGCATCTATATAGAAATAATCATTACGTATTAAAAAATGATTTATATCTGTATTTTACTTTGTGCATTTATTGCTCCATTCTCATACACTTTTGGTAATGAAATATCATCAGAAATAATTGAACCACCTCCAGTAGAAGGTAAATACGATTTTCTTCAGAATTGTTAAATTTCTTATTTGTTTTCATATATATAACAAATAAAGAAATATTTTTTTAAAAAAATTTTTTAGTATCTATTGAAGATTCCATTCGTAAAAAAGGATCTAATGAAATATCAATTCATGTTACTCTTAATAACACTGAAAGAGAATTCATTTTACAAACTGTCGATAATTTTGCTGGTAAAAATACAAAAGTTTGGATAGCTAAGAAAGTGAACGATAAATTTGTATATACTCTACAAGAAGATGTAAGAAAAACATATTTTTAAATATATATTATTTAAATATATTTATTTAATTTATTAATGTAACTTAAATAATTTAATAAATAATGTATAAATTTTGATAAATAATAAAGTTTTTATATATTTTCTACATCTTATATTTATAATTCAATATTACTTTTAGTTTATGAGAAAATCAAATAATATTACATTCTTTTACAATAATCAAACCGAATCTGAAGTATTTCAGACAGTAAGTGAAAACGGAGAATCACAATTTGTAAGTACTGTAACTATTTCTTTAATATCAAACAAAATTCGTTAAGCACATTATTTTTATATTAAAAAATATAAAATTTATATTTTAAAAATAAATTTTTCTTTTAGAATAGCGTTATTAATTATGATCAAGTTGATAATGAACCAATCAATGTATCAAATTTAAGCACCGTGTATCCAGAAATTTTAGTCTATGTTGATAAAACACTTTTTCGGTAAGTTTTTGACATTATTTTTAATTATGATATAGAAATAGTCATTTATATTAAAACAAATTTTTTTTTAGACACTTTGATTATGATATTGAAAAAACTGTAATTTATACACTAACTCTTTGGAATGGAGTGGATCTCGATTTTAGAGAATTACAAAATCCGTCAGTTCGTCTTAACATTGCAGGAATTGTATTGTGTCAGGTATTTTTCTTATACGAATTTATAATTAATAGAACTCATGAAAATCATCTAGAATTAGATTAAAAGTTATTTAACTCAAAAATCCAATTAAATTAATTAGATTTGATGATGATTCAAAAAAAAGTGCATAGGTTTTTTATGTGATCTTATAAGATCATTATTTTTTCAACAAATTCTAATGTATTTCTTTTAAATTTAAAGGATCAACCTTTAGGAAATGATCCATTTAGAGTATATTCAAAAAAACTGGACGAATTTGGTAAATTTATGTACAATCAAGATCAATTCAAATTGGGAAAGGATTACGATATTGCTGTATTATTAGGTGCAGATCCATTATTCAATTCGGGCACTGCAGGTATTATATCTTCTTTAAATTGATATAATATATGCTTTTTTTACATATTAAATTTACTGACGAGGTAACAAAATTTCAAGGTAGGGCATTTTTGGGAAGTACTTGTGTTAATAACACTTATGAACAAAAAATAGCTTCTACAGCGATTATTTTGGATAATACTGCCTTTTCTGGAATAAATACAGCTTCACATGAATTAGGTCATTTGTAAGTATGAATTGTTTTAGATTAAATATTCAAAAATTATAATATTAATATTTTATATATTATTGTTTTATTTTATAAGATTCGGAGCTCCTCATGACGGTGAGAAAGATGATTCAACAGCGAAGCACTGTTCTTTTTATGATGGCTACATTATGAGCTATACCACAATTGACGAAAAACAATATTACTTTTCCACGTGTTCTAAAAAAATTATGTCTAACTATCTCAGGTTAGTTATTATTTATTTATTTTAAAAAATAAAAAAAAACGTTTTTATGACACTATTTAAAATTTGATAAACTTTTCAATTCGTTTATTTTAATGCAATAAAAAAATGTATGAATAATTTTATTAATTAATAAAAATGAAAATATTTTTAAATTTAGAAGCGAGGCTCCTAAATGCATTCGTAATAATCCATTGGTTAATGAAACTAATGAACAAATGTTAAGAATTTTGCCTGGTAAATTTATGACAATAGACGAACAATGTCAAAGACAAGGATATCTCCGAGCATATGATGTAAGTTTTAAAAAAATGCGCAGATACCACAATATCTTTAAGAATATAAATAAAAATCTAATTATCTTGATATCAATACGAAACTGAATGATTTATAAATTAATAAAAATCTATATGATTTAAATAATTTTATTTTATTTAAGGTGAATCCAGTCTCTTGCAAAACCATACAATGTAAGAGGGTTGAGCCGGGGGCTACAGCATTTTCTTCTATTGCAGCACTTGAAGGAACGCCTTGTTACATAGGAAAAGTAAAAAATTTATGATTATCTATTAATATTTTAAGTTATTAAAATATTTCATGTTCTTTAATGAAAAATATATAAATTTCAGTATTGTCTGAGAGGAGAGTGTGTTAAAGTAAATTTCAACACAACTGAAAATAATAAACATTCAAAAGAATTATTTCCATCACTTTCTCAACATCCTACATTTAATAAATCTGCAACAGAGCAGTGCATAGAAATGGGAATAGAAAATGTTACCAATGTTAGTTTAAATAATTTCTTATGAAAATTATAGTAATGATACAAATTTAAATATTTATTTCTATTTTAATTATTGTTTTAGGCCTATTTTGAAAACTGCCAAGTAAAGTGCAAGTTTCCGAAAGAAGGATTCACATACTCTATGTTTATAGACGCTCATTATGGAACTTTGTGCAGTAATGATGGAGTAAGAAATATTTTAATTTACAATTTAAAAATTTTCTATTTAATAGTTTTCAATGTCTCTGATTAAAAATTTCAAAAATAATGATGATTACTATTAAATGAGAATTATGATTTAATACTTAATTTTAATTTGTTATTAACAATTTTCAAGTATTGCCATAACGGAAAGTGTATTGGTATGAATAACAGTGAAGTAACTGATAATGTTGTTCCTGATGACTCAATACCTGACAGTATTAATCATGATAATACTTATACTATGCCTGATAAATATATAACAGCAGACGAACTATGTCAAAAAAAAGGATATATCCGAGCAGTAGATGTAAGTTTTAAAATATGCAGACATTTAAATAAAGATATCTTTATAAAAGATAAGAAAAAATAAAAATCTAATTATCTTGATATCAATCTAAAACTGAATGATTTATAAATTATAAAAAATGTATAAAATTTAAAAAAATGTGGTTTATTTAAGGTAAATCCAGACATTTGCCAAAGCATAAACTGTTTGAAGGAAACAGGATATATAATTTATACAAATATGCCAGCACTTGAAGGAACGCCTTGTTACATAGGAAAAGTAAGAAGTTCATGAATATCAATTAAAATTTTTAGAAATTAAAATGTTCTTTAACGAAAAATATTTAATTTTCAGTACTGTTTGAGAGGAGAGTGTGTTGAAGCAAAGTTGAATACAACACAATCACTTTCTGAACTGCCTAAATTTAATAAAACCGCAGAAGAGCAGTGCATAGAAATGGGAATAGAAAATGTTGCCAAAGTTAGTTTAAACAATTACTTATGAAAATTATAGTAATGATACAAATTTAAATATTTATTTCTATTTTAATTATCGTTTTAGGCCTATTTTGAAAACTGCAAAGTAAGGTGCATGTTTCCGAAAGAAGGATTCTTATACTATAATATTATAGACGCTCATTATGGAACTTTGTGCAGTAATGATGGAGTAAGAAATATTTTAATTTACAATTTAAAAATTTTCTATTTAATAGTTTTCAATGTCTCTGATTAAAAATTTCAAAAATAATGATGATTACTATTAAATGAGAATTATGATTTAATACTTAATTTTAATTTGTTATTAACAATTTTCAAGTATTGCCATAACGGAAAGTGTATTGGTATGAATAACAGTGAAGTAACTGATAATGTTGTTCCTGATGACTCAATACCTGACAGTATTAATCATGATAATACTTATACTATGCCTGATAAATATATAACAGCAGACGAACTATGTCAAAAAAAGGATATATCCGAGCAGTAGATGTAAGTTTTAAAATATGCAGACATTTAAATAAAGATATCTTTATAAAAGATAAGAAAAAATAAAAATCTAATTATCTTGATATCAATCTAAAACTGAATGATTTATAAATTATTAAAAATGTATAAAATTTAAAAAAATGTGGTTTATTTAAGGTGAATCCAGACATTTGCCAAAGCATAAACTGTTTGAAGGAAACAGGATATATAATTTATACAAATATGCCAGCACTTGAAGGAACGCCTTGTTACATAGGAAAAGTAAGAAGTTCATGAATATCAATTAAAATTTTTAGAAATTAAAATGTTCTTTAACGAAAAATATTTAATTTTCAGTACTGTTTGAGAGGAGAGTGTGTTGAAGCAACGTTGAATACAACACAATCACTTTCTGAACTGCCTAAATTTAATAAAACCGCAGAAGAGCAGTGCATAGAAATGGGAATAGAAAATGTTACCAATGTTAGTTTAAACAATTTCTTATGAAAATTATAGTAATGATACAAATTTAAATATTTATTTCTATTTTAATTATTGTTTTAGGCCTATTTTGAAAACTGCCAAGTAAAGTGCAAGTTTCCGAAAGAAGGATTCACATACTATAATATTATAGACGCTTATTATGGAACATCGTGCGGTAATGACGGAGTAAGAAATATTTTAAATTACAATACATAAACTTTCTATTTAATTGTTTTCAAACTCTCTGATTAAATATTCCGAAAATAATGATGATTAATATTAAATTTTTTAAGTACTGTCATTACGGAAAGTGTATTAATGTGGTTAAAGTAACTACTCCTGTTGTTGAAGAAATAACCGATAAGTCGGTACCTGATGTTACTGATTCTAATAATACTTCTTCTATTATGCCTAATAAATTTAAATCTGCTGATGGACAATGTTAAGAAGCTGGAATGTTAAAATTTTCAAATGTTAGTATTCAAATTAGCAAATTAAATATTTAATTTTTTCGCATTTCAAATGATGTTTAAAATTATTTTATTTGTCTGTACTTTAGAAAACTATTAAGGAATGTATCTTAATTTGCGTAATTTCTCATTGTAATATTATTATACTTATAGGCGAATATGTACTATTTTATTTATTAAAAAAAAGTTTGTAAAATTAAACTAATTTTTAATTAATAACACAGCCACACAAAAAAAAAAAAGTTCTGATCTGGGGGTCTGACTATATATTTTCTATGTCTTTTGGGTCGCTGAATCCGAATCCGAGGCCCATTCAACCCCATCACATCAGGTTTTTAAAAAAACCTGAAAAAACCAAAATGGCGGACACTTTTTTGGAAAATTTATCGGATTCGCTTGAAACTCGCTACTCGGGGGTTTTTGGGGTCGCTGGTTACGAATTTGAAGTCAGTTTTCAAAAATTCAAAATTGCGGATCCAATATGGCGGACATTTTTTTGAAAAATTTGCCGGATTTGCTTGAAACTCGCTACTCGGGGATTTTTGGGGTCTCTGATTACGAATTTGAAGTCAGTTTTCAAAAATTCAAAATGGCGGATCCATTATGGCAGGATTTTTTGTCAACTTTATTAGATTCGCTTGAAACTCGTTACATGAGGGTTTTTGAAGTCGCTGATTACGAATTTGAAGTCCAATTTACAAAATTTAAAATGGCGAATCCAATAAAGATGTTCTTTTGAGAAATCAAAAACTTGAGTGTTTTAATTCACCCGTATTTACTTTGTATCTTGCGTGTGCCTGCGTCCAGGGCACCTCCACGTGGTGTACATTGGGTAACGCAAATGCCGACGGTACATTATATAGTAAAATAGACGTGATAACATAAACATTGAAACTAAAGATATTACGCGCGTTTAATAGCACAAATTGTAGGTTTTTTTAGATTATGTCCGAATCCTGATATGATAAATTTAAACTGACTTCAAATTCGTAATCAGAGACCCCAAAAACCCCCGAGTAGCGAGTTTCAAGCAAATCCGGCAAATTTTTCAAAAAAAATGTCCGCCATATTGGATCCGCCATTTTGAATTTTTGAAAACTGACTTTAAATTCGTAATCAGCGACCCCAAAAACCCCCGAGTAGCGAGTTTCAAGCGAATCCGATAAATTTTCCAAAAAAGTGTCCGCCATTTTGGTTTTTTGAGGTTTTTTCAAAAACCTGATGTGATGGGGTTGAATGGGCCTCGGATTCGGATTCAGCGACCCAAAAGACATAGAAAATATATAGTCAGACCCCTAGATCAGAACTTTTTTTTTTGTGTGGCTGTGTAATATATTTCAATGTAATTAAATAGTCAAGATTATTTTTTTTAACTACGAAGAAGGTTAATTTATTAAAACATTTGTGTTTACTATACTAAATCAATATAGGATCTTTACTAGTTTCAAAATATATTGTTAACTACTATTCTTTATTTTCCCTATAAATATGTTACAACGAATGTACTGACATGGTTAGCACTGCAATGGTAACCATTGTTACCATTTGCATTTTAAAGAAAAATATTACAATTATTTATAAAAATATTTAATAATTATATTGATAATAAATTAGGATTATTTATTTTTAATTAATAAATAAAGTTGTTAATATTAAAAATTGTTTTTAATTTATAATCTAATTTATAAATTGTCTTTCCTAGATCCTTTATCATTTAGAAGGTATTCCATGCCAAATCAAACACTATTTTGTAGTTATAAAATACTGATTAATCAACATTTTTAGCATTGTGAAAATGGTCAATGTGTATCAAATCAAAACACAGCTTCGCTTTTGAATCAACAATTTGAATGGGCTGAGCAACTTTGTAAAAACAGTGGATTTTTAGGTGCTTTAAAAGTATGAATTTAAATAATATATTTATTTGTATTCATTTATTGACAGGATTATGTAATTTATGTATGTTCTTTATTAGGTCTCTGCTCATGATTGTATTTTGAAGTGCACGATGCCTATTTATAGTTTATCCGTAAGTTTGGAATAGAAAATTTACTAGATTAAATGAAAAATATTGGTTCAAAATTAAGTTTTAAAAATCAAAGAACTTATGCATGAGATAAAATAATAAAATGTTCATGTTCTCTGAAATCAACACTGGTCCTCATAGGATTCAGAAAAAGACTAAAAATGAAAATAATTAATTAAAAAGTTGGAAAAAACAGACTTTTCCACCTGGTCCACCTATATATGATTGTGATGAAAGTCCATCGTATGATGGATCTTATCTAAATAAGATAAACAAGGAAAAGTAAACACCTATGGAATTTATTGGAAATTATTTATCTAATATGACGCAAAAGCTAATTTTTCATTTAAAATAAATAATAAATATTAACATCCCGTGTGGAAAAGTGATGTGGGCCCCCAGTGGGGGCCCTTATGGATCGCCCTCATGCCATGAGGGGCGCATATGGATGATCCATAGGGGCCCCTCATGGAAACGACATGCTCATCGATGAGGGCGCCCTTATTGGCCCTCACGTTTGCCCTCATCTTGCCCTCAAGTTTGCCATAATGTTTTTTAATCAATAATATTAATAATAAAAGTTAATTAATAATAAATAAGCTTAAGTTATGAATAAATAACATATTTATTTAATAATTATTCAATTTTAAATTAATTTCTTACTCAAATTGAATTTATTAATTAACGTTCTAATTAATTAACTGTCGGATATAATTAAAAGTAATAATAAATTAATTAAAAAATATGTAATTTATGCATACTATTAACGGATATTTTCATTTTTCAATAAATTCATACATAGAATTAATTATTAAACGCAAACCTGAGAAATAAATAAATCTAACACATGGGGGGAATCGAACCTACGACCTACGGACTATGAGTCTAACGCTTTACTAACTCTTAAATTCATTATATATTTTCATAAAAACTGTAATAGTAATCAATATAGGTGCACTTTTTCCCTAAATTGTAACATTTATATTAAACTCTAATATGAGTTTAATACTTAGTAGTATGAATTTTCTTTCAGTGTATTAAAAACGCGTTTTTCGTTGTTCTGAATCATTATAAACATTAATTTTTTGGTGATAAAAAAATATTTCATTTTTGGACTTAGAAAATTTTGCTATTCGATCATGAGGGCGATCCATGCGGGCCCCTACGATGGCCCTTATCTATTTTGCCATAAGTGTGAGTGTTATTTTCAAAAAAGTGTAAATATATTTTTATTAAAAACAAGTTTTTCGTTGTTCTGAATCATTGGAAACATTCATTTTTTGTTGACGAAAAAATATTTGAATTTTGGACTTAGAAAATTTTGCTAATCGATCATAAGGGCGATCCATTCGCCATATGGATCAGCCCTCATGGGCCCCCGCCGGGGGCCCCGAACTCTTAAGGGCAAGATCGTGGCTTTTTCCACAGGGGATTACAAAAAATTATTGTAGACATAAATGGTATAAATTCAAAAATTTTAAGTATATCAATACTTAAACCTAAGTTTTTCTATTAAGAAAATCTCTTTCTACATTTTGGTAAGATTATAAACAAATATCAATAAAAAAAAATTTACTAACTAAACTATTTCTGTTCTTTTTTATTAAATTTTCAAAGCTGTCAAACTAACCTATTTTCCGTGCAACTCAACTTGAAAACTAAATTCCTTCGTAAATAAAAAAAATTTCATAAAATAATGTCAAAAATGAACTGTACATATATAGAAAGTCATTATTATTAAATATCAAATTTTTCAAAAAATAGGCCGCAGCGACTATAGGTGAAATCAAATGGAATGACCCTAATATTAAAAAATAATATTTGGAACTGAATATATAAATTTCCATTTCATCATAATAGAAAAATTTATCTTACGACACTACAATAAACATAAAATTAAAATAAAACAGTTGCGTTTATTGTTTGAGATCGATAACGTATTTTGCGTCACAAGTATAAACAAGTATTTTTCTTGTTTTCTTAATTTACATAAAAAATTCCTTAAATTCACCATTATACTTTAATTATAAATTTTTATAAGGTCATATAATTCTATTATGATATAAATTTTGCATGAAATAAATCTCCTTAGACCTAAAATTCTCATTATTGTTCTAAAACTAAATTATAATTAATAATTCCTGGTTTATTATCATCAAAAAAAAATATATTCAAAATTTACATTATTGATATATATTTTTTTCTACAATTTAAAAATTTGTTTAAAAAAATTATATAATTTTACTGTTTTCTTTTATCTCTGGGTATTAAAAATTTTATTACAAACTCAGAATTGTTGATAA